AAAAAAAAAAAAAAAAAAAAGAATGTTGATTGGTTAAATGAATGAATGCGAAAACAAAGAAGTTAGGCCCTGCTTTCTGCCCTAGCCCTTCCAGCCCACGCTGGGGTCTTGTCTCTTTTAGTCTCAGTTTTGCCTGTTCTATCCCTTTACTACTAGCTCCTTCCCTGAGAAAGGGGACCCCATCTACCAAGCCTTCCCGGTGCTCAACACATGTCCTAGGCCAGGTACCAAGGGATGTCAGAATCTTGCCCGAGGGTGGACAAAGACCTGACAGGTAGAGCTCATTCTCAGGAACAGGGGGTCCCAGGCGGGTGATCGTCCAGGGAGCCTGCAGCAGGGGAACGGGCAACAGCCCCCAGGTTCCTGCCCCCAGGCCAGCTGGCTGCTGTGCCCCAGCCCCGGTCCCAGGAGAGCCCTTTACCTTACCCCCGGCTCCTCTGGTTGAGCTTCTTCAGGAAGACTCGTGTGACCTCGAGAGCCTCCTGCTCTGGAAGCAGCAGGTTGCCAGATGTGTTACAGTTCAGATCGATCCAGTCAGTCCGCAGGGCTTGGAAGTCAAGGTTCCGAGCACTGAAGGTCTGGTCCCAGTTTACCACTGGGTCAAACATGGGCACGTATTCGAATACCTCACTCATATCCTCTTCCTCTTCTTCTTCTTCCCCCTCTTCTTCTCCCTCCATCTGTCCTTCCTGGCCTGCAGCGACCACGATGTCTTCCTCACCATGCCAACCCCTCCTGGGGGCTGGGGGCTCCATCCTGTCTCCCCTTCTCTGCTCTGCGATGTATGTCTCAACTTGATTCAGCCACTGGGACTGCCCTAGTGTTTTCCTGGGACTGTCACGACTGGGCCTAGGCCCCTTGACAGGAGGCACTTTCCCCGCCAGATGCCCCTGGGGCCACTTCTCAGAGTGAGGTGGATTTTGGCTGGGCTGGGGGCTGGGTCTTCGCTCCGTCTTCTCTGGTTGCTGGACTGGGACATCACTGGTCCTCCCAGGGAAAGGAGCTGTGGAGTTCTGCTTGGAAAACGGTGCCAGCAGACCGTCCCGGGGCTGAGCTAGGAGCTTCCGCAGGCTCCGGAGGTGGTAGTCAGTGACATCCTGCCCAAGGGGAAAGGTAGGCACTTGTCTTCCCTCTGGCATCCTGGCATTCTGGACATTGGAGGCAAGGGTCTCCTCTGCTGCTTCTCCATACTGGGATTCTTCTAGAAGGCTTTCCTCAAAACCTGTTGTTAATAACAACAACCATTCCTCACATCAGAGTTTCCAACTTTCCCAAACAAGGTAAGACGCGGTTGATCCTATGAATGACACCCAACGAGTGTCAGGTGGGGATTGCACCTGGGCTCTGCCACTGGCTTACTGTGTGACCTTGGGCAAGTTACCAACCTCAACTAACCCCAGTTTCTTCCTCTGCATAAAGGGAATAATCATGCATCTTCCTTAGGGCTGTTGTGAAGATGGAGCGACATAAAATACCCGAAGTGCCTAGCAGGTGCCTGGCACACACAGGGCCCAACAAATGGCCCTGGCATGCCCTAATCCCTCTAGAAGAAAGGCCACAGGATAACAGGGCTTTTCTCAGAAGAACTTCCCCAGTGACGTGCCAGGGAGAGTGATCCCTCCAGCAGTCCAAGCAATCTCCTCTGGGGCTCTAACTCTCCTCCAGCTGGCCGCAGCACGCTGTTAAATACAGTGTCACTTTCCGCATGTGCCTGGGATGGAAAAGGAAGGAGTACCACTCTCTCCTCCTTTGGGTGTAGGGGGAGCGGCTGTGTGGTTCGGATTTTAAGCTCTTCAGGGGCATGGCTGGCCTGGCCTGAACTTCCTCTAGAAACAGACCATGCTCATCCCTCCCAGCCTGACCCGGAAGCCTCAGCAGTCACTGTTACCTGGCTGCTCCGGCCCCTGCTTCTCAGGCTGGTCAATCTTGATGTACTCCTGAAAGCTGAACCTGCAGGAGGACGGGAGAGGCAGACTGGCACCCAGGGCCCCACAGGCTAGCGCGTGAGGCTCTGCGGGAAGGGCCAGCAGCAGTATGGAGTCGTGCCCCAGTCTGGAGGGCAGGAGTGTGTGTGTGTGTCTGTGAGTGTGTGGCATGCCTGGGAAGGGCCAAGACTCCTCGGGCTGGAAGGGCATTTGCCGCCCCTCTAGTCCTGTGGAGCCCCTCTGTAAGGCCATTCTCTTGCCCCATTCAGTGTTGCTCACCGGTCCTGGTAGTACGAGTTTTCCTGGTAGAAGCATTTATTATGAGTCTCCATGTGGCTCAGGCGGGTATAGTCATTGGGGTAAACGAAGGACAGATGCACCTGGAGGCAGAGAAAGCAGCAGCAGGAATGAGAGAGTGGGATCTCGGTAAGAAATCAGCCAACCAGGGTGAAGCCTGCGCCTGGCTGGGCCCACACAGGGCTCACGGTGAGGGGAGAAGGGCTGCTTTGAGCTTCGGATGAAAACATTTGTTCCACAGACCGGGATTCCATCCCACTCTTCAGGCCTCCTCTCCTGGACTCTCTGGACCAAATGCAACCCCGGACTCAAGCTTCCCAGTGCACGCGCCCTTCACCTCCCATCCTAGCTGCTTCTCCCCAGCTGCAGCCAGCACCATTCTCTCCTCCTCCTGCCACCTCCAAACCTTCACCTGCAACCTCCCATGGCCCTGGGACAACCCCCCTTTTGTTACCCACCACTGCTTCCTGCCTCCCTTACAGCTTCAGGCAATGCCACCAACCAACTTCCCAGTTAGACCCCACCCACTCTCCACCCAGAGGATGACTCCTGGCCGCTTCTTCCTGCCTCGAGCACTCTCCTAATCGTTTCTAGATCTGGATATATAGGGTGCCTTCTGCCTCTGCAGTTTCCACCTGGGCTACAGGTTCTCTAGAGCTAACCTCCCCTCCACAGTTCACTTTCCCCAGGGCCTCATCTATGAGTTTAAGAAGTACTGCTGGCTGGTCGCCCGGTAGGACAGGGTGTGTGGCTCAAGGTGCTGAGAGTATAGGAAGGCTCAGGCCAGTCCACCTCCCATCACCATCATCACTGTGGCAGAGCTGGAGTTGGAGTTCTTCCTAAGGCCGAGCATTTATTCTCAAGGTTTATAAGGCAGTCCACTGGGCCATGGGCAACGTGGAACACAAGTTCACCCAGCCCATGGACCTGTGAGGCTGTCCTGTCTACTGCTATGTGGCATGGGGAGGAGGAAGAGTCAGGCCCGGCACCCCTCTATCTCAGCCACAGGCCACAAGCCCCCACTGCCCGGCCCCCAGACTTACAAAGCGGAGTCCCTGGTAGCGCTGCAGGGGGAGCCCATCCACCAGGTAGCTGGGTTTGTAGGGACAATCAGGCAGGATGTGGCGGAGATGAGTCTTGGGGATCAGAGGCACTGAGGACAGTAAAGGAAGAGGGATGAGGGTGGGGATGGGAGCCTGGAACGGGCTGGCTTCGAGGCACAAAGGCTCTCAGCTGAGGGGGAGGGCCGAAGGCCTCTGCTCTGAGCAGGCACCGTTTTGTATTCACTAATAGCAGCCATGGGCAGTCCAAGTCCATCGGCTGAGGTTGCCAAACTAAGGCTGGCACCACTCTTCTGGGGTCGGTACATTCAAGGAGTCTTGGAGGCCAAGGATTCGGCCACAGTCCCCGGTTCATGGCATGGGGACGGCTGTAGAGGGCTAGCCTCAGTAAAGGTTTAGAAACATCCAGGAGGCCACCGAATCTCATCCTGGCTCAGGGCCAATGACTGAATTTCCACCCAGTTGTTGTGGGGGTTGGGGCTCTCTCATCTTTTAAAATGTAAATGCTCCCAAGAATGTAAGACTCTAACACCTTGGTGGGAACATATTTCTCTCACTGGATTAAGAGCTGGGATCCAGGGGCGCCTGGGTGGCTCAGTCGGTTGGGCATCTGTCTTCAGCTCAGGTCATGATCCCAGAGTCCCAGGATCAAGCCCCACATCAGGCTCCCTGCTTAGCGGGGAGTCTGTTTCTCCCTCTGCCCTTCACCCCGCTTGTGCTCTCTCTCAAATAAGTAAAAATCTTAAAAAAAAAAAAAAAAAAGAGTTGGGATCCAGTAGAAAACTATGATATATGTGATTGTGGAGGGACACGTAGGGGATTTCTGGGCTCTAGTTCTACTTCCTGTCCTGGGAGGTGGTTACCCAATGTTTGCTGTGTAATGATTTGTGGAACTGTAAAACTGTACACATGTATTTTTGTACTTTTCTATACGCATATTATATTTTACACTCCTAAGGGAAAAGCAAGATTCTCTGACTTTGGAATACTGTAGTAGAAGTGACAAGTCTGCGGAGTCTCCTCTACTAACACCCATGGCAGTGTATGGTCCCCAGACTGGATGAGAAGTGTGTGGCCAAGGCCTTACCTCGATAGAGGGTGTCCCGAGGGTCGGGCCGCAGCATGTCTGCGAGGGGCAGCTCCTCTCTGGGAAGAGAGTCTCGGGAGCCTGCATGGCTGGCTGCTGTCTGAGGGATATGGCCCACGTCATCCATCCTTAGGACTGTCTCATCTGGGCCCAGGGAGGAAAGAACAGAAGCAGCTGTGAGTCCTGGAGCAAACCCAGAACCCAGGCCCCTGCCCCTCTGAGAGGCCAGGCAGAGCCAGAGCCCAGGCTTTTGTAACCGCCCCCAGGGACAGTATGGGGTGTGCGTGACCCCACTCCCCTCTAGCTCTGCCCTCTCACAAGTTGTGGGCTCACCTACTGATCTCCTTTGGACCCACTCTACCAGCCCCATGGCTACCACACACCACAACTTGGTGTAAA